TAGGACATTAAATCTTTAAAAATATGTTTGTATTGCAGCAATCCCCGAGAAAGGTACGGAAAACACAGTAGCAGGACAAGTGTTACAGGAGCAACGCAGAACCCATCAGCTTCTACATCAGCTGAAAAACACACACATTCTTCAGTGCTTTATTTTCACAACATTTACTTCCATTACAAAAGTTATCCATACCACCTTCATACCAAGTCACAGAGGGCAAGTAATCAACGTAAGCCTTGCTACAACATACATTTAAGGTCCTATCCCCAGATCATGTTAGACAAGTTACTTCCATCACCCATTCTTGCAGCAGGAAGACACTTGAAGGCACTTGCTCAAAAAACACACCTAGTTGATGGCACATGAAGATCCTCTGCCCCAGACATCTGATCTGTCTGGCCAGTTTAGCAATACTAATCAGTCTAAGGAAGGCACTAAGGTCCCTACTGGCAGGTTCAGACAAAGGGTTGAAGCCTAACAGGTCCTGAGTTGTACTGAGACTTTGAACGATCACTCACTTCTCTGAGTACCTCCCAGCTCCTGCTGACCCTGTCTGTTACTAACTCTTTCCTCCAAGGAAGCAGTCCTTTTTCTTACGCAGTAAAAATCATCAGGGCTCATATTCATCGTTGTGAGGGCATCGAGGGCAGACACACTGCTCAATCCTAATGTAAATGTCAGACCTCAGTCTTGCCTCAAACTACCACCAGTTACAAGCCCAGGTTTTCCCAAGCACAAATTTAGTTCAGTTTTTTTGTACAGCTGTGTTCTTCAAACATAAAAAAATCCTCAAGTGGATGTGCATCTTCTAAAGAACAAAGCAAAACCTTTGTATCACTGTGTACCACGTTCTGCTATGCCAAGGTTGGTGAGGTACTGTACAGCTGGTCAGAGTGGAAGTGTCAAAGTTGGAACAGAAGTGTTGTTTTTGGTAGGTTTTTTTTGTTTGTTTTTTTTTTTATTTGGAATTTTTGTGGGGTTTTTTGCTTTTGTTTTGTTTTTAAGGTCTTGGTACTATTTTTCATACTCCTGCATCTAAGAAAACAGATGTCAATGGGACAAGTCCAACTAAGCAGTCCTGAGAGATAACAAGAACAGGATGATTTTAAATCTTCCATTATTTTCTCCTTTTTCCTTCCCCTCCAGTAAGATACTGCTAATTTAAGGTCTGACACCACATGGTGAGGTAATAGTGGTTGAAACAAACCGTAAAACAGTGTCTTTCAGTACTGTTTTCAAAAGGAGAATGCAGGTACATTTCCCAAGCTTGACCTTTTTGGTAGCTGGG